TAATGAATAATAGTATATATATATATATATATATATATATAGAGTAAATTTTTAGTTAGAGTTTATTATTAATCGTACATTTATACATAGTAATTATAAAATTTTTACTAAAAAAATAATTAATGTAACATTAACTTTACGAAATTTTAAGATAAAAATTGTAAAAATGTAATGAATAGTTATTATATATATTACAAAATAATAAAAAATATATATTTTAATTAAACTTCAGTAATTTAAATTTAAGACTGTATACATTGTACATCGTAAATGTTAATAAAATTTCAAAATAGCAAAATAAATCAATTCGCAAAAACATTAAAAGAAATTTATTTTTTAAGAATTTTAAAACTTATATGTATAAAGAGAAAATGGATAATTAATGTACAATAATCGATATTTTTTAATATTAGCATGACGAGAAATTGATAACCAAACAACCTTCCTTCATGATACGTCGGGTAATGCTAATGTCTACACGTCTATACATTATTATTTTTTTTTTTTATAACGTTTCATATAAATATATAATGTTTTGAAAATATCTGAATATCAAATACAAAAGTATGCAACAAAAAATATAATTTCATTTGAAAATGTTAACGTGATCTTCATAAAATTTACCATTCAAGATTGTTATAAAATCCTTACTAAAAAACTCTACAAGATCAACCTTATACTATCGCTATATATATCCTTCTACATCATATAATTTATTTGAAATATTTTCTCGTCTTTTTTATATTTTTCACAAATAAATAATCTATAATTAAGTTGAAGTAATTAGTTTAATATATATATAAATTAACGTTATTATTAGTTTAACTACTTTTTAGATGGATTTTACATTAAATAATGTCCTTGACTTCATGTAATTTGAAAAAAATTAACAACAAATTATCAAATGATAAAATTTAATAACAAAACAATACAAAATAAATATCAGGAAATAAATACTTAGAAAATTATTAACTGATAAATTTATATATATTCCATTTCTACTTTTTCTATATATTGATGCTTTAATAGGAAAAATTCAATAGTGAACGATTGAAAGAACATGTATAAACTAAATCGTCAAATTTTCTTTGACGAAAAAATTACTTTTTAATCTTATTTATCGTCTTTGATATTTAAAAACATAATGAAGCTTTATATATTTTTTATTCTATTAGTTTGTACGCAATTTTCGTATAGCTATCGTAAGTAAGCCACGTTTGATCGAAATTTCTCAAACATTGTATACGTACTCGCTCAATTTATTCTTATAATTAATTTTGCATTTATACATATCAGTTGTACTTACATGCACATCATTCTCTTTCTTCTTTTTATTTTAGTTATCATTATATATATATATATTTTTTATACGTAAAGTTTATCATATTTCATTTAATATCTTTCAATTTACTTAGGACACTGGAAGAAGTATAATTATTCATCAATAGTATTTTCTTCACCTGAAGAATGCGCACGGAATTGTAGAGATAACGAGCAGCCTAAAAATTGTTATTATTCTTTTCACATTGAATTGTATACAACAGTTGGGCCGTATGTGTTTTATATTACATTTAAATTATAATAAAATATATATTTAATAATTAATAAATATATATATTTTTTTCTCAAACACATTTTATTTTTTTTTGTATAACATATATAGATATAACAATATATTAAAATAAATCACATTATATTATAGCAAAATATTTAAGTAACAAATTTTAATAATAAAAATTGATATACGTGATGTACAGTGCTTGTGATGTACCAGGATCAAATCAATGTATTCAGGCAGATGGAATTGAAAAGACGTTAATACCTATTAATCGGCAATTACCAGGGCCACCTATTCAGGTATAACAAAATGTCGAATAAATGATTTTTTTCATATTTAAATAACAACAATTAATATTATTATGACGAGAGTTTCTAATTCTATTACTTCGCAGATTTGCTTGAACGATCGTGTTATAGTCGATGTGCAGAATGCCGCTATGGGATTGGAAGCGACGATACATTGGCATGGAATTTTTCAGAATGGTTTCCAATTTTATGACGGTGTCCCTTACGTTACACAATGTCCAATTGCATCTTCCTCCACATTTAGGTAGAATTTATTTCGCATTTCGCTTATTATTGAGATAATTTTTGGGACGAATTATTTTTATAATCGTTTTCTTACAAAACTGTATTCGATCCATTCGGATAATTCTTATTGAAATAGGAAGAAAAAAACATTGAATGGAAATTTAATATATAATAAGGTTGAATCGAAATGAAATATTTTACGTTTTTTTTCAGATACGATTTCGTAGTGAAAAATTCGGGTACACATTTTTATCATTCTCACATATCTACACACATGCTAGACGGACAAATCGGTAGTTTTATCGTCAAAGATCCACCGTCCAAAAATCCTCATCGTGATTTGTACGATAAAGATGAAATAATCATATTCTTGAGTGACTGGATACACGAATTATCGTTCGAACGTTTCCCCGGATATTACAGATATAATATATTGGGACAGGCTGCAGAAAACATACTTATAAACGGTTTGGGAAATTATACCGTAAGCTTTATCTTATTATTTATTTATTAATTTATCGTGTTATTGAATCTCCACGAACAAAATCGTACCTTCGTTTTTTTTTTATTACATATTAAACATAATAAAATAAAATTCTCTGGAATTATTTAAAATTATTTAAAAAAATTATAATTCTCTTTAGAATTTAAAAACCGGTGAAACTACTAACGGAAGTTTGGAAGTGTTTACAGTCAAGAAAGGGGAACGGCATAGAATACGGTTGATTAACTCTTTCAGCACAGTGTGCTTGGCAGAATTTCGAATCGAGAAACACAAATTAATTATAATCGCTCAGGATGGTGAAAACGTGAAACCTAAACCCGTGGATAAAATAGTATCTGCTACAGGTTTGATAAAATTCATATTATTTCAAATTTGTTATTTAATTATTCTGTTTATTGTGAGAATATATTCGTGTATAGGCGAGCGTGTCGATTTTATCCTTGTTGCAAATCAAAGTGTGGACTCTTATTGGATTCAAGTGCGTGGCCTTGGCGAATGTGCAGCAACGTTTGTACAGCAATTGGCTATTTTGAAATATGAGAACGGTCCTTCTCAACCGTCGACGCCGCTTCTTAGTTATAACGATACAGCAGACGGTGTTGTAAGTGTACAATCATATTTTGCATTTCAATTTGGAAATTCATTTCGAAAGTGATTTTATGAGGATGTTGGAAAATATTTATAATAAAATATAACAAAAATATATAAAATAATACGAAATAAAATTTTTGCCTTAATTTTTATAATACAAATTTCTCAGATCGAAATTTTAACGAATGTTAAAATAATCACGATCAATTTTGCAAAAGTATATTTTTAATAGAAGAAATAGATTTTTTATAATAAATGTAATAAATTAATAAAAATTATTAAATTTTTCAAAATAATATTGTATTCACAAGATTAAAATATAAAATTAATATTTTTATTAATAAATTTATAGTTTATCCCATAAATTTTTAATATAAAATTTAATTCATTAAAAATTTTATATCTAAATTAATTTCTAAACCCTTTATTTATAATTTTATTTCTAGAAAAAAAAAAAGGAATAATATAAATTTAACTCTCCTATTTTCGAAATATGGAAATAAATAGTTTTAAAATGAATACTGCGATTCCTATCTTTCAGATATACAACGGATTAAATGGAACGCTGTGTAACACAAATATCACGGAACCTGTGCTTTGTATCAACCAATTGGAAAGCCTTAAAAGCGAGAGCGACCTCTTAAAAGTTGAGCCCGATGAAAGATATATATTACCTTTTTGGTTTTTCAACTATACTGACACTTCTAATGATAAATTATTATTTAATACAAGTTCATACCGTCCGTTTTTCAGTAAGTTGTTTTTAACGGTTCTTTCTTAAGAATAAATGCCTCACGTATATTCTCCTCTTAATTATTAATTTTTCATGACGATTCCACTTCTAACTAAATTATTAAATTTGTTAAACAGATTAAATTATACTTTCTTCGTTTCTTTCTCATTTTATTTGCTATAAAACTTTATATGCAACATGTCTAACGTATATATACATACACAAATGCAAATAAAGTGATTCGCGAGTCATCATCACTGATTTTCACTTTCCAATCTTTCATGAAAGATGAATGAAAATTTCAATCTCCTTCTTCGTTTTTTTTAAAAATTAATATTATTTCAGCCGCGAACGATCGTTCTCAACTCCTTTCCATGTTCAATGATATCGCGTATGAGAGTCCGGCTTCGAATTTACTTACACAGAGCAGCTCTTACCAAGCAATATGCAAAAGAAATCAACTGAGCACTTGCACCGAGCCTTGTACCTGCGCTCAAATCATCAAAACAAAATTAAACAATGTTGTGGAGCTGGTAATGTACGACGCAAGTACGTTTCATGATTGCGAGAAATATTGTGAAAATGATACGATAGTTAGTTGGAAACGTTGGTTAAAAATTGTTTTAATGTAACAGTACCGTTGACGGATTTGGATCATCCGTTCCATTTGCACGGATTCGCGTTCCAAGTGTTCAGCGTGGGACAATTTTCGCCCATGAGAAACATCTCGAGGGAAGACATAAACGAAGTGATAGAGGAGCACACGGAACGTCTTAGAAGGGGAGAGTATAAAAATCCACCCGGCAAAGATACCGCGAAAATTCCAATGGGAGGCTATGTAATCGTACGTTTCAAAGCGGATAATCCAGGTAAAAATTTATTCAATTCTCGTTTGGAAATAAATTTTAAGATTAATCTCTTTACGATAAAAATGTGATATTTTTTTTTTTTAAATTCATTAGATGTCTGAAATTTAAGAGTTCATCTTTTGAATCAATTATAATAGCAATTAATAAAATTAGTAAATAATACCAATGAAATTTATATTTAATTGTTCTTAACTTATCTTATTTTATTAATAAATTCACTTTTAATTAGATTCAAATTTAGAAAAATTTCTAAAACATTAAAAAAATGAAATTGATTGTTCATTAGATGTCTGAAATTTAAGAGTTCATCTTTTGAATCAATTATAATAGCAATCAATAAAATTAGTAAATAATACCAATGAAATTTATATTTAATTGTTCTTAACTTATCTTATTTTATTAATAAATTCACTTTTAATTAGATTCAAATTTAGAAAAATTTCCAAAACATTAAAAAAATGAAATTGATTATTCATATTTCTTCTTATTATTTTGATTAATTCAATCACATATTCAGTTTCATTTTTTTGATATTATATTTTACAATTTTAAAATATCATATCATGTTCCTGAACAAGAATATATAGCATAATGTTTTATCATAGGATGGTGGTTACTTCATTGTCACTTCAGTTGGCATCATATTACTGGTATGGAGCTGGTCATTCTTGTAGGAAACAAAAATGATCTTCCACCGACCCCAAAGAATTTCCCGAAATGCGATAATTGGAAACCATCATTGCAAATGGACGACGATTATTGTTTTTTCCCAAAAATTAGATATACACTTATGCCATAATACAAATGTAATACGCGAGCAAATAAAAGTATAATATTTTCAAAACGTACCATCCGTTTATTCCTTATTAATCTTCACTTCATCATCGATCAACAAATCAAGCTTTTGTTTTAATATTTCCAATTTTTTAATATAACGCTTAAAAACTGCTTTTTAACACTTAACAGTTTTCCATTTAACATTTTCTTTTTTTTTAATTTCACAAAAGATTTACATTATTCGTTGGATTTTTTCTAAATGATCCAATAATTTAAATAATTATTTCATCAACACGATTAAATAATTTATATCGTTCAACGATAGATCAAAGGCTTATCTAATTAGCTTTAAATAAATAAATGGACAAATGAAATAAATATATGAAAATAAATTTTCTTTTTTTTTTTTTCTTTTTTAATTTCACAAAAGATTTATTCGTTTGATTTTTTTCTAAATGACCCAATAATTTAAATAATTATTTCATCAACGCGATTAAATAATTTATATCGTTCAACGATAGATCAAAGGCTTATTTAATTAGCTTTAAATAAATAAATGGACAAATGAAATAAATGTATGAAAATAAATTACAATTTAGAATTGGGCAAATTAATTGTTTCGAATACCATATCCGGATGTTTATTGCTTCCACAGGTGGGGAAGTCTAGAGGAACGGGTAAAAAGCTTTCACGACTTCCTACCTTTAATAAGAATTGCATAACAGGTCCAGATATTCCTGGAGTCAATGCTGTGCTTCGTGCTTCCCATAACCAATATCCTATAGAAACATGTCAACTGAATTCCCTAAATAATAAATCGTCAATTTTATTAAATATAATTTTACCTAAATTATCGGTAAAGAGACGAAGAATGAGGTATCCTTTATTTGGCACGACGAAACTGTCTTTTCGTGGCGGATTCAAATAATTACGATGCAACTGTTTGTTACGATCCAAAAGCATTACCTCCTCTTTCGTAATCGCTCGTCCAAAGCTTTTTCTTCCTAAGATGCTTGCGTTGTAACCATGTATATGGAACGTATACGAAACATTTCCACCGAAACCTGGATTAACAATCATTTCGAATAAAAAGAAGAAGAAGAAAATAAAGCAACTTGTTCTTGTAACTATAAAAATAAGTCTCTTTGACGATTTACCCTGATCAATTAAAATGATATCGACATTTTTATTGGGCGAAACTTGGATCACGTGAACGCATTCGCAAAACAATGGCGTATCAGCACACTCTTTCGAACGTTTCTCGAGAGAGCAAACCGACTTCTCTGCCGTATTTTCCGGTTGAGATAATAGCGGGGATGTAGGATACTTAAATGACACGTGATTAACTTGGGCGACCCTTGCCTCTTCCTCGTTCGTACCTGAAATTAATATTTTTATAATTAAGATTTCTCAAACTTACGAATCTTACGATTAAATAAAAGGTAAAATTATATCCGCGACTAAAACGATAATTTATTTCCAACAAATTTAAGAACGAAACGATATATATTTAACAAGATATTTTGTATCCTTACTTAAGTCCGATGGATAGAAAGGACATCCGTAAAAATTGTATCTGTAATCGGACATTGAATCCGTGATATAAGAGAAAGAATTCACATCGAATGGAATATAAATAATTTCGTTCGAATTAATCTCGCCCACTTTGTTCGATCCTTTTAAATCCAACGAGCAAATAAAATTTCTCGATATCTCGTCACAATCGTGGCCCATGCTCGCCACTCCATATTCGTTGATTTTTAACACTTGTTCGTCCTTTATCACAGCAGATTCCGGTTTCGCGTTGTCATAAAGGATAAAACCTTCTTGGCGAAGATCTTGACAATCCAAAAATCCCTTTATGCCGACAACATACTTTCCGGCAGGTTGATTTGCTTCGATTGTCACGTCAAATCTCTCACCTAGAATTAAATTAATATGTAAAAAAAATATTTGTAAAGAATAAGAGAGAGAGAGAGAGAGAGAGAGAGAGAGAGAGAGAGAGAGAGAGAGAGAGAGAGAGAGAGAG